CTGGTTGAAAATTAAGTAATGCTTTCATGATATAGTGTGTCTTTGCCATGGTAGTGATCTGTGACCAAGTGAAAGTTTGACATTATGCTGATTATTTTTGAATACTCTGTGATTCTTAGGTTTATGGTTATTTTTACGTCATGTATTAAGTATGTTTCAGTTAGTCCTGAGCTCTGTTATTTTTCAGTTTCTCTCCCTCAGATTCTAATCTTCAGGACCTGAAAACTCTTCAAATTAAATTGTCTCAGCAGGATGCAACTTTTATCAAACACTTAAATCTCATGCAGGCACCGAATGACAACACCCAGAATTTATTTCTGTGTTACTCAAATGGGGTCAGCTACTAAGCCTTTAGCAAAAGACTTCACATTCACACAGTCAGGTTGAACTACACTTTGCATCTGTTTCTCTCACTCAGATGGCTCATAGCATAAAAAAGACTTTAAAAAAAAGTGAAACTTCGCGCCTCTGATACGCTCACAGCATCAGGTGTAAGGTTGTGGTGGCAAAAATGCACTTTGTCAGTGGTTGTGAAATAGAGGGTGACTTCCTGACAAGATGTTGTAGTGTGAAAAAATAAGTATGCACAGATGTGACAGGGAAAAACACATATAGTCAACTAGTTAGTCATCGACAAGCAATGTAGAGTTCACAAATTTAATATTTTTAAATGTTAAAAGTACAATACATTTTTTAATCTTTTAATTTTTTTTATTAAATGTTCTAGCAGGGATTGGGTGAGTGCAGAGTGAGGGTAAAAAATAAAAATGTGATTTTCAGCTTTCGCTTTCATCAAGAGGCTTATCTGAAAGATAACAAAAGTGTTTTTGACATTTTTCTTGTATCAGTAGGAATAGAAAAGCTGACATTTTTTAAATTGGCGTCTTTGTTTGTATATAAACTGTTAAGGGAAACATTTATTTTTCAATTTAAAGTGATTAAATATTTTTGAGTAAATCCAATTTCAGCATTATAACTCCTCCTACACAAGAGCTCTCTAAATGACTGTCTTAGCTTTGAGCTGTAACCCTGTGCACCTCCTCTGACTTCTTCTTCTTTCTGCAGAAGAAATACCTCACTCTTCTGCCCAATTAAAAAAAAAACTTGTAGTTTTAATGGATGTAACACAATGAAATCCATCATTAATGCTTCATCATTCTTGTAAAGCAAAATAAATTTGTGCTTTCTGATCAATCTGATGAATGTCTGGTATGACCTGAAACCTGTCTTCTAAATACACAGAGCACACAGACATTTTTGATTAAAAAAAATACAGTACAAAATCAGTAGGGATCAGTGATTAGTAGGTCAACCCATATAATCGAAAATACTTTTGATGTAATTTCCTCATTTGCATTTTTTCCTCTTCAATGAATGAAGTTCAACACAGCCAGTTTTTTTTTTTTTTGATTATCTCAGTTGGAGATAATAGGATATCATTGTAGTGGTTTACAACTTTCTCTGTTGGCTTTTTGCTTCAGGCTCTGTGCACACTCACAGTTAATGGGTCTTATGACTCTTCTTCTGCAAAAAGTGATCCCTATGAGTGCCACATACTCCAGTCAGACACAACAACATATCCACTGTAATTTTGTTAACACTTATAAATTCTGCTAACTTTTTCCTTTCAAATGCCTCTAGGGCTGAGTTTCTGTGTGTTCTCTTGTACTCTTGCACTTTTAAGCTAACAGACACAAGGTGGCACCCCTCTGTCCCAGCTCACTGACCTACCAGTGACAGCTCTCTTCCTCTTACTGAAGCTGTTCTTGTCTAAATTGACACCACACTATCTCCATACACTCAGGTCATATGATGATGATAATGTGGTTATTAAAAATCTGTAAATAACACAAAATAAAATAGTAAAATAATAATGACAATGTGACATACAGTTTGCACTTAATTCAGTAGTTTTAATAGAATAGAATAATCCTTTAATTGTCCCACAAGGGGAAATTTGGTTGTAACGGCAGCAAGAAAGACACATATACAAACAAACAGTACACAAGACACAAAACAGAAATACGCAATTTTTACATATTTACATCAAGGACGATGGTTACCAAAAACAGAATACTGTACAGTTATTAAAATTACATAAAATTAAATACAGATAAGAGGCAAACCCAGGTTATAGTGTGAATCGGTTGATAAAATAGTGCCAAGTTACAGCGCTGATGTGAACATCTATGTTTGTTGGGAGCAGTTCTGATTGTATAGTCTGACAGCTGCAGGGACGAAGGACATGCAGAAACGCTCTTTCATCTAGGATGCAGCAGTCTGTCACTGAAGGAGCTCTGCAGTTCAGCAACATTTCCATGCATGGGGTGGGAGACTCTGTCCATCAGAGATGTTATTTTGACCAGAGTCCTTTTGTCTCCCACCACCTGCACTGGGTCCAGGGTGCATCCCAGAATAGAGCTGGCCTTCCTAGTGAGTTTATCCAACCTCTTCCTCTCAGCTGCCGATAAACTGCTGCTCCAACATACAACACTGTAAAAAATGATAGATGCCACCACAGAGTCATAGAAGGTCTTTAAAAGCGCTCCCTGGACTCCAAATGACCTCAGCCACCTCAGCAGGTAGAGTCTGCTCTGACCCTTCCTGTAAAGAGCATCGGTGTTGTGGCTCCAGTCTAGCTTATTGGTACCTTATAGGCCGTACCAATAAGGTACTAAAAACTTATACATAAATTGTGGTTCACTTATGCAAAAATGCAAAAATTGTAAGCCAATTTACAATACATAATCTGTATTATACTTAAAACATGCTGTAATTAAACAAATCAGTGAAAATGTGAAGATTTTAAATCGCAAATCTGAACACAACCTGCTCCAAGTGAGGTTGTGTTCAGCGTAGGGAACTGTAACCCTGAGCCAGCTCCCACTTCTAGAAGCAGAGTAAAGTCAGTCATAAAATGCATATATTAGGTATTAAATACACAGTTTTAAAAAATGAGACATAAGAGTTTAAACATTTAAACATATTCAGTGTCACAAATGAATACAAAAAATTACTTAAAATATAAAAAGGAAATAAAATAAAGTAAATGTAACTGTCTAAAGCCAGAAACAAGGGTAATATACACTAGTGAGTGTCAAAACCATGGTCCATGGTCAACCAAGACCATTTTGCAAGTCTGTGTTTTCAAATTGGGTAAAACTCCAAGCTTAGCAAAGGTCATACATTCGCACAGTCAGGCTTGCTCTAATCTGCATCTGTTTCAATTTATCACACTCAGTTCATAAGAAATCACAGAGAGACTTGAAAAAAAGTGAAACTTTGCGCCTCAGATGTGTTCGGATCATTGGGCGTTAGGTTATGTTGACAAAAGTGCACTTTACCGGTGGTGGACTTGCAGACAAAGAGGGTGACTTCCTGAGAAAGATCATAATCTGAACTAGTAAGCATATACAGATATGAAAAGGTGTCAAAAGTAGCAGAGTCAACTGTTAGTCATCTAGCAGGGTTCTGACATTATTTTTAGATGCTCAAAGTATTACTGAATACTGTTTCTTAATCCTAAACTGGAACATACAATGAGTGAGCTATGCCGACACATTTAAAGTAAATGGCTTTAATTTAGACTTAATGTGCACATTCGATACCTGCATAGAACATTTACTTTCATTTACTTTTTTCACCCATAGACATGAAGTACCCACATATTGAATCCAGGGATATTCAACCAACTCATGCTACGTGCATCTTTGGGGTTTTTTGAAAGGGAAATTATTAGATTTTATGACTGAGTGAGAGTGTAGAGGAGGTCAGGCTTTGTATACATACAACTGAAACTATATTCACGATAACGAATAGATAGAAGGTTTCATTTGGTTATTTATGTTATGGTTGGACAGGCTTGGGTTTTGTTCCTGCTTTTTTCTCCGTCTACTTTGTCTCCTGTCATGTTCATGGTATTTGAGGATCAAATTCCATGAGCTGACTGGATGACTAGTGCCATTGTTCTCTACGTCGCCACTCTGTTGGTAACTAGGGCTTGCTTCTTGCTACTAAAACTTTGTGCTTTCTGAACAGTGTTCCTCCATTAACTCTTATGAGTCATGTAACAGATACTACCTGTAAGACAAACCTAAGCTTAACAGCTGGGGTAACCCACCACGACCAGACAAACCTACCAGCATCTCTCCACTGATTTCCTCACCACTACTAAAGAAAGACAGCCTATTAACCAGTTCTCCACAACTCCAGTTGAAGGGAACAGGAAGCCCAGAAACTAATATAATAAACAGAATGGCTTGTTTAAGGATTATTGTTGTTTACTGAAAAATGTAATGCTTAAAGAACTTGATCAAAATTAAGTAACACCACTTAACAGTAGCAGCACTGTGTCTTATCAAACACAGTGCTGTCAACATTGTAACTCCTCCTACATAAGACTTCCTCCTAATGACTCTCCTAGCTTTGATCAGTCGCCCTATAATATCTGCATTTTTGGTTTCATCTCCTCTGATGCTTTCAGCAGAAGTAGTACTTCACTCATCTGTCATTTATTTTTCATGGGAGTAACACAATGGAGTGGACAATAAGTGTTACAACTTTATTGTCAGGTAAGACAGGTTTGTGCATTCTGATTTAGTCTTTTATTCTCTAATAATTAACATCTCCAAATAGTGAAGATACAAATGACATTTAATTAAATCTGCAAGCTGTGTTTCCACTAAATAAAATCTATAAGCAAATGGAATTCCACATCTAGCTGTTTTTTTCTTCTTCAATTCTTTAGAAAAGCAAATGTATGTATGGTTGTTTTTAAGTGAATATTGCTCCAATTCACTATGTTCAGAACTTAAATCAGAATTTCTGACTTTGTTGGTCTTTAGTTGGAATACAAAATTAAATAAACAAAACCCATTGAAGTAAAAAAAAGTGACACATAGTGTATACATTTTCTTGTATACCTTAAATATAGATAACTATAACTACATAATCGTCCATTACATGAGACTATGATGTTCTTTCTTCTTTAATTCTCAGTATTAAATGCTGCACTTGTTTCAACATTGATCCTGTGGCTTGGAAGACCCTGAGGAGTGCTGCTGCTGGTTTTGGCTACCAAGTGGTGCAAAGACAATCAGAGTAAGACAGAACAAGGATTATTATGTTTAATGTGGATTTGCAACTGCTATGTATTTTGTATTTTTAGAACAAAGATCTCTGTTATGGCCAACAGAAATAATTAAACATACAATACTTATTTATGCAGTTTGCTCTCTAGGCTACATCATTCTCATTATTCTGTTATTTATTTCCTTAGTTTGCTCATCAGTGCTCCACTTGAACAGTATTCACAAAATGGAAGAGGGAAAATATATACGTGCACCAACTCCTCCCCAAACTGCCAAACTATTGAATTTGAAGGTAGGTAACTGTTTGTCTTGACAGGATGTCCTGAAACTTTGACTTTCCACATCCAAGCCCAGAATTAAATTGGTTAAATCAAATCATAGTTTGAGTAGATTTCCAAAACAAATATTTTAGTATGTAACAGTAATGTACACCAAGCAAAGAAAAGCCAATTATTAAGATTATTCTTTTTAATTTTTCAGTTGTCATAGCCAAAAAGGAAAAAGTTCTTTAATTGTGGTACTTTGGAGTTGTCAAAAGTTTTTTATGAGTGTTATAACAAATGTAGAATACTTTTATTACAGCACCAGGTTTTGCAGTCAACATGTCGCTTGGTTTAACAATGAAAAGTGATCCCACGGCACAAAACACTGTGGTGAGTTGTTGAACTACAGACATTACCAGTGCTTTGTTAAAAATCACAGAGGATGAAATTCTTCTGTCCTCTGCGTCTCAGATGTTTTCTTATAGTTAGAAAATAAAATCATGAGTTTGTGGCATGCCCTTATTATTTTTTGGTGGGGAGGGGTTGAGTTACAATAACTTCAGAATATTTAATAAAGACATGCAAAATTTTACCTTTATAAACTGAAAAGAATAAAAATTAATAAAACTGGGCCTAAAGGTCTTTTTTTTTGTAATTCAGGCTTTTACCATTTAAGCTGTGTGAAAAGCTGAATGTAAATTTTTTTAAAGATTTGGTTGATTTTATATGGAGCAAACTATTGCTTAAAAGAAATGGAAATAATCAACTCAGTGTATTAATCACAACTTGACTTTTTCTCCTCTCAGGTGTGTGGGCCAACCATTCCAAATGACTGCAATAGTATCACCATGTACAACGGTGTGTGCTTTGAGATGGATCACTCTAGTACATTTGGAACACCCAGACCTGATTTTATTCAAGGTAACAGTACATGGAGCTTGGAAAAATATACCTCAAATCATTAAAATCCTGCCTAAAAACAAAAAACAAAAAACACTTGCATTATATACTTCATCATAGTGTCAAAATCTTTTATGTTTGTGCCTTTCTATTATTTTGTACATATTCCTCTAGTTTATATAGCTCTTCTGTTGGCTATTTATTTCTGATGTCTTTACTATTTTTTTTTCACTTACAACTGCAGAGTTGGGATTATACATGTACAATGACAATAAAAAGCTATTTTTTTCTATTCTATTCTGTAAGTAAAGCTTATTTAAGTAAGTTTTACTTAGTTTTTTGAGGCAACAAATTTGCATAATGTTTTAAGTTCTGGTAACTAATTGGATTTTATAGTGTAATCTCTAAATCTCAGCACAACTGAAACTGTATTATGACTTTATATTTCGTATAACTGAAAGTATGTTGAAACCATTAAAAACATCTATTAACCCATTAAAAATTTATTTCATTTTGAATCTATATCTTGAAAGCGTGCCCGCCCCAAGCAGACATTGCCTTTCTGTTGGATGGTTCAATCAGTGTGTCTTCTAGAGATTTTCAAACAATGAAGAAGTTTGTGAAAGATCTAATCCAGTCATTGCTTTCAATTGATACACAGGTGAGGTGCTGTAATCCTTTAAATACTAGCACACACATAAAATAGTTTCATTATTATTTCCATTTAACTTCACAAAACACGGCTGTTTTACATGTTTTAAATATTTTTTCCCCTTCCTTTTTAGTTTTCTGTTTCCCAGTTCTCTACTTCACCACAGGTTCATTTTTACTGCACAAAATTTTCATCATCTACATCACTGGATACTACCATCAAAGAAATTAGCAAACTAGGAGGAACTACTTACACAGCGAAGGCCATCAAACATGTTGTGTAAGGGATGCAAAGATATTATTATTTATTCCCTAACTCTGTAAATCTAACCACACTGAGCACTGTGGTCCATGTGTTCAAGCTTTTTGAAAGAGACAATGAAAGACTTGTGTTTGGGGGTATTCTACTAATTGTGAGATGGCCCAAAGAAAACCTCAATTCAAATACTTGCAAAGCTAATTTGGCTGGTTTGGTAGCAAGGCTAACAATACACACAGCCGCTCTATCATGTGAGCATACTGCTCCGACATGCTACGGTTATGAG